GGGATGATGATTCAACCACTCAACCACTAGATGTTGCTGAATACAACAAATCCTACACACTGTGCCTTTAAGTACAAAAATCTACTGACATTATTCAAAGATATTGTGTTTCGTCTATTTTGTGGTACTAGATTCAGTTTATCTAATATTAAAATGCGCAGTAATTACCACCCACATCTGATTAATTTTTTGCCAAWTTCTGTCAGTCTGTTAGCAAAATACTTCATGAATCGCCACATTGGATTTAATGAGACTTTCAAAGCAGACTCATCAGATTGCAAATCTACAACTAATTGGCTTCTGAAGGCAGTCCAATTCAAAAGGACCACCACAGCTAATTGACTTTAACCAACACATAAATGGATACAATTCAGTCCATTTTTACAAATATTGAGCTTAAATTCAACATGCTAGTGGCTGAAAGTAATCCACAACACAAGATCCCCACGAGATTATGCATAATGTAGTTTGAAACTCTTATCAAAACATTTTAATTTGTTGTCATTAAGGGGTAATTTTTTTGCAAAAACGCAGAAAAAGAAAAAGCCATCAGTGCGTTTATTGTCAACTTTACCAAAAACAGCATAAAAAAGAGGAAAACATTCCACTTTCTGTTTTATTGTGGCAGGATCAGCTGTGTTCTAACCTGAGCTGAGGGGCGTCCGTCGCGCTCGCAGCATACGGTAGCTGCCCACTTCAAGGGACTGTGTGAGGTCCAGGTCATGCAGGATGAGCAGATACCCCGAGGAAGTGGAGATGAGCATCTTGGAACAGTCGGGCGTCAAGCGCATCCTCATCAGGTAGCGAGTGTGGAAGAACTTCTTGTGCGGGCAGCCATCCTCCGTAAATCTGCAGCAGAGAATTAGGACATTTTACCAGTAGCTATGCCAACGTTTAGAACTTGTTTTGATGAAACTTTGGTAAGGAAGGTTTGTTTAAAATCATAGGTGTTAATTGAAAACATGTAGTGTGGATTAAAAATGGTAAACAAAATCTTTTCTGTATGTATTTTAGCTTATAAAGTACAATTATTTTCATTACTTGATGGGAGGGATGAAGGAAAGGCAATCTATAATTCTCTGACCTTTCAGAGGCATAAAGGATTTTATAGACAACAAAATGTATATTTTTATTCTAGAGTACGCTGCCCTTTTAAAAAAGATAAATCTAAACCCTGTAAAGACAGCCAACCTGTTAGTGTCCCACGTGATGACGTTGCCGTCAAAGCCAGATGTAACCAGGAGCCGAGTGTTGGTGTCGTACTCGATGTTCTTCACCCAGCTGGCGTGGCCGTGCAACGAGCACACCTTTGAGTTCAGCTTACGCAGGTCCCATAATGCGATTGTGGTGTCATCGGAGCAGGTGGCAAACAAGCGATTGTCTAAAAACCTAGAGACAGGGCAGCCACAATCTCGCTTAGCTGCTTTGGTGAGTTTTATTATTGATCTGGTTCCTCAACCCTGGTCCTCGAGGGCCACTATCCTTTTAGAGGTTTCCCTGCTTTGATACACCTGATTTGAATAAATGAGGGATTAACAAGCTTCTGCAGGATTTGTAGTAGAGCTGGGCGATATGATCAAAATTTTATCACAGTTTTTTCAACATTTTCACTGGTTTCACGGTTTTTGACGGTATTTTTCTTTTCATCACAGCTCAGCTGATAATAAAATGTACAAACCCTGCTTAATGACTTTTTTCTTTTACTGTACCTCTGTCTGTGTCTCTGTTTCCCTCCTCTGTGTCTGTTCTTCTCTGACTGGTGGTTGGAGACAGTAGTCATGCATTTTGGTCCAGTCGTGAAGGAGGAGGGTTAAGAAAAGATTATGATCGGGTTTATTGTTTTATGTTATTTATTAAAGCTTATCAGCACGAATCACCTTACACACCAGTCATTTCCAACTCCACTATGAACTACTTCCTGCAGGCTTTTCACCACGTTAAGTCTCCATCAGCATAACGTCTCCATATTAACTAAATGTGTTAAATCTAACTGTGCACGTCACTGAAGAGGTGTTCACTACATTCAGCGACGGCGAAAATGAGATGTTTTTTTTAAACGTCAGTCAATATAAGCAGCGGAATCGCCACCTGCGGCTGCAACTAGCTGCTCCAAACATTAGCATGCTAACGCACATAGCAGTGCAGCAAGGAAAAATATCCCCCGGGAAACAACAGTTCACTGGCGGCCGCGATGAAACGTTCCGCTATTTAAACCTGAATGTCCGGTATTCAAAAAATTCGTATCATAACAAAAATAAAAACTGGTATTCTGCACAAAACGATATACCACCCAGCCCTAATTTGTAGACTTGCTGAAGAGCAGAGAAACAACTAAAACATGCAGAATAGCGGCCCTCAAGAACCAGGACTTAGGAACACTGATACAGACATTATATTCTAGTAGAAAATCTCTAGTAATTTTCACTTAGAGGATTAACCTCATGTTTTCATCTTGAACCATTATATTTCTTTGCTTTAAATCGTTTAATCAGTTTATAAGTGTTCCATGTGAATCTAGATGCAGATGTGACAGACATGCACCTTATATTGTTGACGCAGTCTTCATGGGCCTCGGTTAGAGTTCTGATGTGCCTGGACGAAACGGGATCAAACAGGAGGACCTCGGTCTGCTCACAGGCCACAGTTAGCACAGACCTGATTGGAGAGCAGATGCACAGATCAAAAATCGATCACAAGATGCACGCAGAGGAAGAAGGTTTCCTGGCTGCGATACAATCATAACTCAGAAAAAGCAAAGACACAATGAAAAATGTAAATAAAAACATCTATTCATTCAAAACAACACAGCACTCTTTTAAAAAGGAACATACCATGCAAAAACCACTTTTTTACCATTGTGTACTTGGAGTCACTAGGAGTTAGGGCTGCCACAAATGATTATTTTTATGATCGATTAATCACAGATTATTTTTTCGATTAGTCGACTAATCTGATCATACGTTAACTGAATATAAAACATAGAGCTTATCACGCCAGACTGCAGCTGCTATTATATAACCATGGTTAGATTTTAGCTATATGCTAACTAAAAATAATTGCTGTGGAAGGTAAGTTCTGCTCTGCAGATATTGCACAGGTTTCTCTTTCATTTTCTTAAAATGATCCCACACTTTTGAGCTCCGTTGTCAGGTAGCCATGATACCAGAGCCTGTCTGTATAATGTCTTGTAACGTCCACGGCCTACCCCAGTTACCACTACTGTGCATGTGTATCAAGGACAGAAAGGCAGATGTGGCAGTGGAAGGTGTCAAAGCAGTTTGGAGAGAAAAACAAAGTAAAGAACAAAAAAAGAAGAACAGAAAACGATTAATCGATTATTAAATTACTCATCGATTATTTTAATAATCGATTAGTTGTCGATTAATCGTGGCAGCCCTACTAGGAGTGCAAAAAATTTTAATTACTTTCTCCTGGTGCTGCGTAGATACCTATATATCATGTTTGGGTCATAGTTTTCTCYATTTTCTATGCCATTTTTTGAACTATTATGTTACAGTAATTGCGACAGAACTGCCAGTTAGGTCTGAAGTTACCAGCTAGTTTGGTGGTCTTCATTCTCCTCTGGCTCTGGGTCAGACTCTGGCTCCAACATGTGAGGCTGGATGGACAAGTCTTCCCTTGTTGACATCTTTTGATTAATTTGTAAATAAAACACTCCTGCACTGCTATATAGTCCATAAAAATACTTTATCAAACTAGAATGAATCAGTCTGGAAGTTGGAGGGGGTGCGGGGTGTAAATCGCATCTTTAGATTCAAAGAGACAGCCTCAAAATGAGTTGATCCGAGACACACCTCAGAAAAAGGGTGAACGAGGGGCTTGTGGAGTTACAATAAGGAGGAATTCACAAGCATTGCAGTTCCACTTTATATAGACCCCGACTGAATGATTTAAATGTGAAAAATAAGGATTAAAAGCAGGATATTATCTTTAAGGGAAGGCCTTGCTTATTTCAGCAAGGCAATGCTAAACCGTATACTGTATTCATTACCACAGCATGACTTTKCAGTAGAAAAATCCATTTCCTTCCAAAAACTTCCCACTTTTATTGTTAATAAAATACAAGTTTAGGAGCTTTGTAAATATTCTTGAATAATATCAGAGCAGACGTTAAAATATTTGAAACTGAGTGAATAAAGACTATCATGTACATGTAAATAAAAACCATTAAGCTCCTTTTCAGGTAACCAATGAGTGTTTTGTTATTCTACAGTCCATTCAACTTTTAAGCACCGACATTTACAGCTATGGCAACACARAGAGGGTTTTCTTATTTAGTCCCCATGACACACTGTATGGAGAGCAAATTAAGGCTACAGTAAGGATGAGCCACCACCAAAGGATCACACAAACAAATGTGACCCAGACTAGACAGCTTGACCCGGTTCAGCTGCAGGATTTACTTCTTACATCTACTGTCTAGTCCAAGAACACTGAACCCTGGCTGTTTAGCATCTGTAACAGTTGTGTGTGTCTTCAAGGAGCTTTAAATTCATGCATTTATTTAAGGGGCTTTTACAAATGAGGTTCCAAACATTGACGTCTTGTTGCAGCACAAGAAGCAGCAGAATGTGTAGAGATATACAGTCAGTAAGGTCAAGGCCTRAGAGATCCAGACTACAAACTGCTCTGGTCTTACCCGTCCGGGGAGTACTCCAGGTTGAACACGGCTCCATGGGTCTGGGTGCTCAGATTGACAGACTCTACAGCTGGGTTCATTGAGCTGTACAAACTGGTCATTGTCCTAAAGTTATCCCGAGCTGGGTCCACAAACAGCCCTCGTCTTGTAGTCCTGCTCCGCAGCCAGGAGAACAGACTATCCCCCCGGCTTCCACCGCTCCCACTCTGCGGCTTATCGGCCGCTGAGCAGCGGGGTTCTAGTTTTTCCGCGGCGGGAGACCCTGCACTGTGCTCCGGCTGGTCCTCGCTGCTTCCCGGTGGTAGTGAAGAAACCCTCCTCGCATTGTCATCTTCCTCGTCCGACTCGTCGATATCAGGGTCTTCATCCTTATCGGAGACGGTGCCGGTGTTGTCGGGCCTGTCCTGGGACTCGTCGGCGTCCTCGCTGCCGCTCTGGTGCTCGGAGCTCATTGTGGCGACTTYTGTGCCCGAACAGCCGCTTCGGTTTCGGGAGCAGCCTCTCCGCTCAGCGGCGAAAAGTAGAGCCAAATAATGACTTCTTTCTGCACTTTTATTTAAGATGGCATGGCGGAGCGCTTTACCTGCATGGCCACGAGCGTAAAAACACGATTGGTTTCCAGATTTGGCAGCTTCTCATCGCCGCCCGTTTAAAAAATAAAATAAAATAAAAGAAATCCAAAAACAAACACGAGCTACATTTAACCGGAAAGACAACCGATTAACTTTCAAAATAAAAGCGCAAAGGCTTAGCCATTGATTCACCAGAGTTAGCTTTGTACGAAATCTTAATGGATTTACAAACAGGTTGGTTTACTATAAACGTTCTTAACTTCGCTGTGTTTTGGGGGGTTATTAAGACCAGAGTTGTATAAAGTACCACAAAGTGATACTTGAGTAAAAGTACAAGTATCTTACCAAAAGATTACTTTGGTAAAAGTTAAAGTCTCCTTTTGGGAATATTACTTGAGTAAAAGTCTTAAAGTGTCTGATATTTTTGTAATTAAGTATTAAAAGTAAAAGT